ATGCCTTCTCTTATTATTTATATTCCACTGCTCCTGCCATCTCTGCACCATCACTGTATATATCAGTCTTTTTGCCTCTGCCTTGCTCATTGACACTTCAACATCAACATCCCCACTACTAAGTGCTTGTTTAGCCTGTTCATCTACTGCCTCGTTCCCCTCCACCCCCACATGGGCTGGAACCCAAGTAAATCTTATCTGAATACCCATCTGTTTAATCCTGCCATGGGTTTGTAGCACCTCATAAAGCAGGTCTTGTCTGCTACGTGGGCTAAAGGACTGGAGACTATTCTGTCTGGCTTAACTTCCTCCACCCACTGCAAGGCCAACAGTATGGCCATCAGCTCCGCCGTATATACAGCCAGATGATCTGTAATACGTTTCCTGACTTTCACCCCACACTCCTGCACTACAAATGCTGACCCAGTATGTCCTGTCCTTGGATCTTTTGAACCATCTGTGTAAATGGCCACAAAATCCTGATACAGTTTCCAGACGTCTCTTAAAGAAATCAGCTGGATCAACCCCCTCCCTATCCTTCTGTATTCTATCCAACACTTCTAGATCAACTACTGGAGGCGGGAGTAGCCATGGTGAATTTACAGGAATAACTACCGTTGGACTAAACTCCCTTCCATACGGTCCCATCTCCTTCGCCTGGGTATTACCCACCCAACCAAAGCTCGTGTGGGGCAATCGAAAGACGTGGCTTCATGGTTCCCACCACAATTGCAACGTCACATTTTCGTCACTTTTATAACACATATGATCTTTTCCACAACATGGACATCTCGGCTTCTCCGTTCTGCAAACACTTGAAACACGACCAAAAGCTTTACAGTGATCACACTGCATTGGTCTTGGGAGAAATGCTCAGACTCTGTAGTTAATATACCCTAACTGGACTTGCATAGGGAGAGACTCCATATCAAAAAACGAAAGAACAGCAAGACTCGTCACTTTTTCTTCATTCACCACACGATTCATCCGACGTGCATCAATCACTCCAGGAATATTTTTCATCTCTTCAACATCGACTTCCCACGAGACGCCAGATATAACCCCCTCGAGGGTTGCCCTGTTCCTAAGAGACACACACGGCACTTCAAACTTATCAAATCGGGTGAGACGCAACACACGTTTCTTCTGATCCGCAGAAGCACAACAAATCTAAACAAGGCCGCCTCGTGATCCTCACAGCCTTCACTCTACCCAGCACTCTCTCCACCAGTTTGGATATCTCAAATGGATTCCTCAAGATTGGTAATTCGATCAACTGCTCCTCATTTACAAACTGTACTCCTACAGATACGAAGTGACATTCTCATCACTGTACTCTACTTTGCTCCTTTTTCCATTCTTTTGGACAATATTCAAATTCTCGTTGATTCTACCGCCATTAGTCAGAATCCACTTCATCATACGCTTCCGCCATCTTTTTCCCACTTCCGGAACCTCTCGTCGGTGCCTTATTTAGGCAGAAAGGCAGTCGAGAGGAGGCAAGATCAGTTTGGAACAGTCTAGCCAATGAGAGGGCAGATACGCATGTAAACAACCAACATGCCATGTGCGTCCAGTTATATCAGTACATTCGTAACAACATTACGAAACTACTATTACGCTGAAACGCAACATGTAAAGAGTTTTGGTCCCATTTTTTCATGAGTTAAAATAAAAGATTCCAGAAATTTTCTATATGCAAAAATAGGCTTGTTTCTCTCAAATTTTGTGCACAAATTTGTTTACATCTCTGTTGGTGAGCATTTTTACTTTGCCAAAATAATCCATCCACCTCATAGGTATGGCATATCAAGAAGCTGTTTAAACCGCATGATAATTTACACAGGTGCAACTTGTGCTGGGGACAATAAAAGGCCACTCTAAAATGTGCAGTTTTGTCACACAACACAATGCCACAGATGTCTCAAGTTTTGAGGGAGTGTGCAATTGGCATGCTGACTGCAGGTATGTCCACCAGAGCTGTTGCCAGAAAATGTAATGTTAATTTCTTTACCATAAGCCGCCTCCAACGTCGTTTTAGAGAATTTGGCAGTACAACCGGCCTCACAACCGCAGACCACGTGTAACCATGCCAGCCCAGGACCTCCACATCCAGCTTCTTCACCTGCTGGTTCGTCTGAGATACCCCACGAGACAGCGGATGAAACTGTGGGTTTGCATAACTGATGAATTTCTGCACAAACTGTCAGAAACCGTCTCAGGGAAGCTCATCTGCGTGCTCGTCGTCCTCACCAGCGTCTTGACCTGACTGCAATTCAGCGTCGTAACCGACTTCAGTGGGCAAATGCTCACCTTCGATGGCCACTGGCACGCTGGAGAAGTGTGCTCTTCACGGAGGAATCCCGGTTTCAACTGTACCAGGCAGATGGCGTTGTGTGGGCGAGCAGTTTGCTGATGTCAACATTGTGAACAGAGTGCCCCATGGTGGGGTTATGGTATGGGCAGGCATAAGCTACGGACAACGAACACAATTGCATTTTATCGATGGCGATTTGAATGCACAGAGCTACCGTGACAAGATCCTGAGGCCCATTCATCTGTCACCAGCACCTCATGTTTCAGCATGATAAGGCACTGCCCCATGTCGCAAGGTTCTGTACGCAATTCCTGGAAGCTGAACATTTCCCAGTTTTTTCATGTCCTGCATATTCACCAGACATGTCACCCACTGAGCATGTTTGGGATGCTCTGGATCGACGTGAACAACCACTTGTTCCAGTTCCCGCAACTTTGCACAGCCATTGAAGACTAGTGGGACAACATTCCACACTCAACCGCCTGATCAACTCTATGCAAAGGAGATGTCATGCTGCATGAGGCAAATGGTGGTCACACCAGATACTGACTGGTTTTCTGATCCACGCCCCTATTTTTTTTTTTTAAGGTATCTGTGACCAACAGATGCATATCTGTATTTCCAGTCATGTGAAATCCATAGATTAGGGCCTAATTATTTTGTTTTTTTTACCAGGTAAGTTGAGAACACACAAATTTACAGCAACGACCTGGGGAATAGTTACAGGGGAGAGGAGGGGCGGATGAATGAGCTAATTGTAAACTGGGGATGATTAAGTGGCCATGATGGTATGAGGACCAGAGGTAATTTAGCCAGGACACCAGGGTTAACACCCCTACACTTACGAGAAGTGCCATGGGACTACAGAGAGTCAGGACACCTGTTTTAACGTCCCATCCGAAAGACTGCAATGTACCCAATCACTGCCCTGGGGCATTGAGATATTTCTTTAGACCAAGAGAAAAGAGTGCCTCCTACTGGCCCTCCAAAACCACTTCCAGCAGCATCTGGTCTCCCATCCAGGAACCGACCAGGACCAGCCCTGCTTAGCTTCAGAGACAAGCCAGCAGTGGGGTGGTATGCGCTTGGGTGGTATTTCAATTGACTGATTTCCTTATATGAACTTTAACTCAGTAAAATCGTAGATCAAATAAATCTCACTTAGCAAATTAGCAGTACACACTCATAAAACAGGTTTCCATCCAACATTTATATGTGAGTAAAGTACGTCGGATAAAAAAATGTCACAACAGGCGTGTTGGAAACGGCAAATTTGTCGGTACACTTTCCAAATGTCGACAAAATAAAATACGCTAGACAAAGTGGGATTTTTTTTGTGTTTAAAATAAATTAGGCGAGAAATGGCGTTGGAAACCCCTTATGTGCAAATAATGATATAATAACCATCATATCGAATTCAACTTGGAGTCACGCAATGATATGTTATGTGGTCCTCCCACAACGACTCGGGAAAGCATGCCGTTTATTAGGCTACAGATGAAATAAGTTATTTTCATTTTAGGCATTTAGCAGATGCTCTTATCCAGAGCGACTTATGATGAATTTCACAGGGTGGTGAAAGTGCATGGTGATGATCTTGATGCTACCCTCCAATAAATATTGAGGGTCTTATTCTGGTGACATGATGATCGATGCTTGGCTACCATTTGACAAATAAAAAAAATCTCGCTCTTATCCATAATAACCTTATTATGTAGGTAGCTTACCCGCACTGTAGCTGCGAGCTGTTGGCTAGAGCGTACGTGCCAAGACCAGAGTGGGCACATTTGCTATATAACGCAACAGTTGTTGTGACAAAACCATCAGTAAAGTTAGAAAATGCGATGGAAACCCATTTAACTAGTATTTTTTTTAATTCATTACATGGGAATTTAACTGCAAAAGTTATTTTATGTGCACTACGTCATCACGCACAGCCTTTTATCTGCAAGAAGTCAACTTGATGGAAACGCGCATTTTATTTTTATGCCTAATCTTTTTAATTTATTTTTGGTATTCGCATACAAATCTGTCGTCAATTGGATGGAAACCTAGCTACAGACCTCCATACAAAAAGTCCCCACTTTGTCTGCTTATCGCTGTATCTCGCGTGGACAGATTTTGACGGGAGTGGAGCCTCTCGCTTAGCCTGTTCCTGTCTGTGAGCAAACCCATTGCAATTGTCCTTTTTATTGACCAAATGAGCAGGTATGTGTATTGCTCAGCAACATACTGGTCACAGGACCTTGTGCTGTAAACAGTGTATTACACAGCCACCCCTGTTTGGACTGTCTGACAGCCTATTGTGTGCACTTGGAGCTATTAAGATGCGTGGCATTCTTACCACTTGTTATTCACAAACACACGATTGGAGCTGTGGCCAAGGGGTCATACAATGGTGGTGTCTGCTCTCACTCTCGTGCCCACCCGCACATGATGTGTGTTTTTGCCTCTCTCTGTCTGTCTCTGTCTGTCTCTCTCTCTCTGTCTGTCTCTGTCTCTCTCTCTCTCTCTCTCAATATCGTTAATCCCTAGTGTGATAAACCCATGATGATACGCATCTCTTCTCGAAGTTATGAGAACAGCTACCAAATAGATTGCTGATTTTTGTCTTCCCCGATTGGTCTGAAGTTTCACTAGCGTCAGTATATATTCAACCCTGTTTCTGTCTCCCTCCCTCCAGATGCAGACCATAAAGTGTGTGGTGGTGGGTGACGGTGCGGTGGGAAAGACTTGCCTGTTGATCTCCTACACCACCAACAAGTTCCCTTCGGAATACGTCCCCACGGTGAGTGGCACTGGAGTGTTGTCAAGAGAGGTTTTGAGCGGAGTGTCAGGGTTTGTCAAGTATCTAGGCTAGGGGGTATGCAACAGGAGGCGCTGCAGTTTGTGCCGTTTGCTCCAGACCATTTATAATATATAATAATAATATAATATATAATAATATATTTAATATAATATATGCCATTTAGCAGACGCTTTTATCCAAAGCGACTTACAGTCATGCGTGCATACATTTTTTTTTTTTTTGTGTGTATTTCTAACACATCTTTGATTCAACTAATCGATTTTAAACCACTATTGGATGAATCAGGTGTGTTAGTGCTGGGCAGGAACAAAAGCCTCCACACACAGTCTGTCATTCTTTATGGCTGGAGTTGCCAATCATTGGTCTGTGCAGAATCTCAAATATAGAATGGGTTTTGATGACAATGTATTTGTTTTATAACTGAAAAGAGGAACGCCTTGAGGAAGAGCCAAACCCATAAGGAAGTGGTTATGGACCAAAAAGCATGAGTCAGGCTACAAGCCTTTTCATACTATTTGCCAAAAAGGGATGAAAACCGACAACTCAGTCCAACTGAAATAAAGAAATACAGTAGGTAGCCAGGAATGGGTAACTTTGATGGGGGTGGGGGCCACAAAAAATCTTAACTTATCATGGGGGGCAGCAGTTGATCACGGGTCTGCGTACCCACAACCATACCCCCCCATAGGGCGGAGAGGAATGTTTGCAGTTTTTAATATGATATCTGAGTGAAACTGACTAACAAAATCAATGGGGATGGACGGTAATTCGACCATGCTAACAAGTTTAGATAGCTGGCCACTAAACTAAAATGTTTAGCTGACATGGGCTAATTGCCTGACATAACAAGAGAAATTGCTGATGCACAACCAAATTTCGAAATTGCACCTTGTGTATTCTAACTCGGAACAATAAGTTGAGACCCTGACTGAGTTCCCCCGGTGGCGGGGATTTATCAGAGGGCCTTCAAAAGGGGGGCCGCCAGTTGCACATCCCTGATGTAGCCTAATCCTGTAGCTCACCGAGTTGGGACTCAGCACAGCAATGGGGTGCTGCAGACGGTGTGTGATGAGTAGCTGTTTCTATCAGACCCATCTCTCTCTCTGGCAGTAATCAGCACAGTGCTGTACCAGAGCCTGGCAGAGAGAGAGTCTGTCGACTCAGCCCTCTCTGTCCTCTGCCCAGTCAGGCCCAACGGGGTTTCAAATTGTTGGCCCATAAAACAGACACCAACTGTCTCCATGACATTTCTCTGTCTGTCTATACAGTGCAACAGTGCACTCTTCTCATAAGAATCACGTGTAAATTTAAGATTTTTTATTCTAAGCAGATTACTCTCAAAAACAATGCACATGGTGTTGACAACTACTGGTTGGTTTGATTTGGTAGGTATTGAAATACTCTTACATGTCATACATGTAAAGAAATAGGCTGAGAACCTACAACCGCCTACTGTAGACTTATAATGGATGTATGTAGTGCATTCTTATAACCTTTCATTTATTGGTGAATACAGTTCTTGTACTACTGCATTTGGGAGTTGAAACATCTGAATATTGGTGTAGTGTGGACAGTCACCGTTGTAGAGGCAGGTTTTTTTTACCCACCAGTTTCTCTGTTATTAGTCCTAGCTCTGTCCAAACATATTATCGTCATGACGGTCAGAGATATGTTTTTGACTTTGCTTGGTTGCTCTTCAGTGTGTTCTGCCTGCTGCGCCTTTCCACTGCGTGCCCCACCGCCTCACTCTTTTTATGTCTAAACTTGAACTGCCCTAAGAAGCCCTGCCTCCCATGGTTTCTCAACCCAATAGAGACAAACTGTTCTCCCTCTGGATCAGAGAATGCATTAGCTGACCAAGGGTGTGTGGAAGACTGAATGGTTGCATCTTAATAGTCGAAAGTGTCTTCCTCATCTCCTCGCTTTCATCTGTCTCCACTGATGTGTAAACACATACAGTTGAAGTCGGAAGTTTACATACACTTAGGTTGGAGTCATTAAAACTCGTTTTTCAACCACTTCACACATTTCTTGTTAACAAACTATAGTTTTGGCAAGTCGGTTAGGACATCTACTTTGTGCATGACACAAGTAATTTTTCCAACAATTGTTTACAGACAGATTATTTCACTTATAATTCACTGTATCACAATTCCAGTGGGTCAGAAGTTTACACTAAGTTGACTGTGCCTTTAAACAGCTTGGAAAATTCCAGAAAATGATGTCATGGCTTTATAAGCTTCTTATAGGCTAATTGACATCATTTGAGTCAATTGGAGGTGTACCTATGGATGTATTTTAAGGCCTACCTTCAAACCCAGTGCCTCTTTGCTTGACATCATGGGAAAATCAAAAGAAATCAGCCAAGACCTCAGAAAAATAATTGTAGACCTCCAAGTCTGGTTCATCCTTGGGAGCAATTTCCAAACGCCTGAAGGTACCACGTTCATCTGTACAAACAATAGTACGCAAGTATAAACACCATGGGACCACACAGCCATCATAACGCTCAGGAAGGAGACGAACGTACTTTGGTGCGAAAAGTGCAAATCAATCCAAGAACAACAGCAAAGGACCTTGTGAAGATGCTCGAGGAAAACAGGTACAAAAGTATCTATATCCACAGAAAAATGAGTCCTATATCGACATAACCTGAAAGGCCGCTCAACAAGGAAGAAGCCACTGCTCCAAAACTGCCATAAAAAAGGCAGACTACGGTTTGCAACTGCACATGGGGACAAAGATCGTACCTTTTGGAGAAATGTCCTCTCATCTGATTAAACAAAAATATAACTGTTTGGACATAATGACTGCACAAGGCCGGAACGTTGTCAGGAATCTCCCACCCAAATTGAAGGAATGTCGCTCATGGTCCACACTACAAAGACAAACATGTACTCTAAAGTAATAGAAGTTAACACTGTTACTCATTCCCAGGTGACAGCCATAAATGACTCCTTTTTAATATAATACCTAAAGATGGCAGCATTGATTAGTGTTTAACACTAATTGACATTTTCCAAAGCAATGGCAAGAACTGGATACACCATTTTCAGTCCCTTTTTTGCACCCCACCTAAGTAATGGTAGGAGAAACATTGGTTGGGCTAAAGAGAGAGTGTTTGGAGGACAGGGTTAGAATTTTCCTTAAGTTTGCTGGGAAAAAAAAAAAAAAGCTTGGAAACTATTCTGCCCTATGGGAGTCACTGTCTACGCAGCATTGTGTGATGGAGACGAAACATGAGAAATGTCAATGCCATTCAGCAGCATTTGGGACAAAGCGTAGTGGTTTCGTCAGCACATATAAATGAGCTGAGTCAGACAGTTTCTCATTCTTACTGAAGAGTAGGTGGTTTCATTGCCTCTACAGGGAGGCACCTTCAAAGGAACAAGAACGCCGTGAAACATTCGTTATCCAACCTAAACGATACCCTACTTACACAACACAAGAACGCTACGCAAAATGGCGTTATTGCGTCAAGTTATGAATGTCGGGGCTCCACGCGTCTACGTAGTGTCACTATGCAATACCATTTTTTACGTAGCTACTTGTAGTTCTTCCATGCGTACATATGGTATAAATCAGGGCTTACTTAGTTGACAACATGGTTCCCTTTGACCAACTACCACTCTGTCATAGACCGTTCTGTGAAGGGAACTAAAGTGGGGGATTTCCATGTGGTCTATATGATGGAATATTGGCCTAGGTTATGAAACTGAACCTAGCCACAGCATGACCCATATTCCTGTATCCATACGTGTACCAAGTATGATGTATGCCTACTGTAAACTCACGCTCTGTGGAAAGAAATAATACAAAAGAATCCAGTTCATGTAGATTGTTCTAAAACCATTATTTGGCCAACAGTAATAGGCCATGCATTATTTTGATTCCTGCTATGAAAGTATCTGCCTCTCCCTATTTCACTGTCGGCTGCTGACTCTTATTCCCTCTACCCACTGTGCGCACGGAGGAGAGAGCAATGCATTCTGAGAAGCACAAGCATATGAACGTTGCTCAAAATGCTATTGCGGGGAAAATACAGTTTTCAAAGCAACTACTGTTCTAGTTACATAGAGGAGAGTCACAGATTTCTGTGAGTGTATATAACGTATTTCTCACCTCTTAATATTGAGTTCATGGCACCACTTTACAACCGGAGTAGGCTATAGTTAGTATGGTTTTGATTTGCCCGCGGAGCAGCGCGTGAAATTTGCAATGACTAGGCTTAGTAGTTTTTGTTGGACATTAGCCTTCATTTACTGATAGCCATGTAGGCTAATTGATTAATCAATCTAGCAACAATATCACATTTAGAGTTAGTAATCTAGCGAAGTGTCCACTTCCTCAGGTGGTGAATAATATAGCATATAGTCCAAAATGCTCAAAGATGCCGGCAAATTCTCTGAAGAGCCCAAAATAAATCAGATCATTCTGGATCCAATTTTGACAGGTTGCACATCAAAATATCAATGATGCATTTCCTGGATATGTTGGATGAAACGGCTTACTTTTTGAATCATAGGCTACCATCTCAGTTGTCTTACTTGGCACTGGAATACAATTGTTTAGAGCCCTGCTGCTAATGTAAAGAAACTGTCCCTTATATGTATATTGTTGTATTTGTTATCGAGCAAAATAGTTACATTTATCACAATATGGATTGTTGGCTATATCGCCCAGCTCTACTGTATGGTACAATACTTTCTGCTGCAGGGATTATTAACTAGATTCAGCCGCCGGATGTTTTTTTTCTTGAGCGGATGATCAGGGGGCCAGAATGTAATTACAAACAATTAGACTGCAAATTGACCACAAGAAGCGCAAACTGATATAATATTTGACTAAAACATAATAATTTCAAAAATTCCTTACATTTGTATAAACTGTATAATATACTGTATCTCTCTATTATGCGTTGGAATACTTTGGAACAGATTTCCCAAATTAAAATAACTTGGAGCAGATTTGCTGGTGTTTTTACAGTCTTATGTCCAACAATTAAAAAGCATAATTTTTATTGCTCAAAAGTTGGGGTGCCAAGTAAAATCACGGCCCACGGGCCGCCAGCTGGTGAACCCTGTTCTACTGTAGAGTACAGGACTTTCCAGAGGTTTGGAATGAGGAAAAACCTGTCACTCACTCATCTGATATCTAATAGTGAAAGAGGATACTTAACAGAGACATACTGACACCAGTATAGTAACATCAAAAATAAAGTATTGAGCAACTTTTAACTTTTAAGCACTGCCTCCATGTTCATCAGACAGTTCCATGGTTGCCATGGCACAGTGAGGTAGCCTAGGCAGAGAGCTCTGTAAATATTGGGTGCGTTTGTAAAGACACACTGGCCATCTACTCTGATTTCAGCACTCTCGTCTGAGGGTGCATTCATAAATTCACTCTGGCTATCTACTCCAATTTCAGAGCACTCTAGTCTGAATGTGCCAGAGCGCAGAATAACTGAGGAATTTGCGAACGCACAACACCCGTTGAACACCCGTTGTAATTAAATTGTTGCCAGCAGCACAGTTACAGTCACCAACGCTCTAGATAACATGAAAACAGCCTAACCAGTTCTGCTAGGGCGAGTACAATGGTCAGAGTGAGGTGTTCTCTCATTTTGTCTCTGGAAGTAGCTAGCCAACTTTAGCCAGTAGCTTGGGTGCTTGACTGCCGTTGTGTGGTCAGAACGCTCGGATCAACCCTACTCCTCGGCGAGAGCCTCCAGTGTGTGCTCTGAAGGCTCCGAGAGCGAAGCGCTCTGAATTTACGAATGCCCAGAGCGCACTCTGAGCGCACTCTGGCACTCCAGAATGAATTTACAAACACACCCATTGTATATGTTTTGTTATAAAAAAATGGTAAATGTTTTGTTACATTGAAAAAAAATATTTGGGGGGTTTTAATTGCTCTGGGTTTTGTTCACATACATCTGGTTGTCTTGACTCACAAAGTTGCAGGGTTTAACGGGTTTAATCCGGCCCGCGAGATGATAAAAAAAAAGTGCTGCAATTTTTCTATAAAATAAACTGCTGTTCCAATTGCGTCCACTGGATGGCGCAATAGCAATTGTGTTAAGCAAGCAAACTGTTTATACCGGGGCAGAGCAAGTAGGTCAAGCACGTGCAGCCAATGAGCTACTTTGTTTTGCCCGCAATAGTTATTACGGCTTCTACTTTTAACATTATGTGCTTTGGCACCCTCATTGCCCCAATATGTCTCTGTCAAAAAAGAGAAAAGTGGACGCAGAGTGTTCCAAGAAAAATTGTCATCCTATTTATTCACGGAATTGAATGGGAAAGCTGTATGTTTGGTGTGTTCAGAGCATGTTGCAGTGCTGAAAGAATATAACCTTCGTCGCCACTATGTGAGTCTTCATGCCGACAAATATGACAACTTTCAAGGACAGCGGAGATGAGAGAAGGTGAATGAACTGTTGGCGGGTCTGAAGAAACAGCAGTCTGTGTTTACTCACAGCCGAGACATCAGTGACGCTGCAGTGAAAGCTAGCTACCTCATTGCTAATGAAATCGCAGTGGCTTCAAAACATTTAGTGAGGGTGAATTTGTAAAAACATGCATGATGAAGGCAGCGGAGATTGTGTGCCCTGAAAAGCGGCAGGCTTTTGCAAATATCAGCCTGACAAGAAACACAGTTGCAGACAGGATTTCCGATCTTTCAGTGGATTTGGACAGCCAGTTGAAGCAAAAAGTAAAGTCATTTATTGCGTTTTCGGTTGCAATTGATGAAAGCACGGACATTACAGATGTTGCACAACTGGCCATTTTCATCCGCGGAGTTGATGACACATTGACCGTCACCGAGGAGTTCGTGGAGTTGGTGCCGATGACAGATACGACAGCAGCTGATATTTTTACCGCACTCGTCGGCGCGCTGGACAGGGTCGGAGTGGACTGGTCCCGCGCTGTCAGCCTGGCTACAGATGGTGCGCCCTCAATGATCGGGAAAAAAGCAGGCGTTGTGACAAAGTTCAGAGAGAAAGTGCAATCTGCAAATGGAGGACGTGATTTTTTGACTTTTCACTGTATTTTGCACCAGGAGGCTTTGTCATTAAAGATGGATAACGTCATGAAGGTGGTCATCCAAACTGTTAATTTCATCCGATCCAGAAGCCTGAATCACCGTCAGTTTGACAGCCTTCTCAGAGAGAAAGACCACATCTATGGCCTGCCATACCACACTGAGGTAAGATGGTTAAGCCGAGGTGTTGTGCTGAGGCGTTTCTTTGATTTACGAGAAGAAATTGAACAGTTCATGGAAGAAAATGGCAAACCAGTGTTAGAATTTCATTCCGCAGAATGGATGCAGGACCTTGCATTTATGGTGGATGTTACAGAGCACCTGAATAACTTGAACAAACAGCTGCAAGGGCGCAACAAAGTTGTCACCCAGTATTATGACAGCATACGTTCTTTCAAGTTGAAGCTGTCATTGTGGGAGACGCAACTTGCCGGTGGTGATGCAGCTCACTTCCCCTGTCTGAAAAATGTGTGCGCGACCCAACATGTGGCAGACATGAAGCGGTTCAAAGATAAAATAACGGGACTGTTACGGGAGTTTGAGCAACGCTTTCAGATTTATGTTTATATGTTTTTATGTTGATGTGCTATTGTTTTTAATTGTTTTTATTTTATTTGTATATTTAACCTATTCTTGACTCTGTGGTTCTTGCACTTGTTTGGGGAACAGGATTTCATTATTTTTATCTACATTTCTGCCTGAGAAATGACACCCTGATATAGATCTGTGATATACTTCTGTGAATCACTGAGGCATTGTGTGTTTGTGTGTTCTTTGTCCTCAGAACTTTCAAATAACTTGAGGTGTTTTATGATTAATAGTGATGTTGTGCTTTTGGACACTGTCCTCAGGCTCCAGCTTTATGTTTATATGTTTTTATGTTGATGTGCTATTGTTTTTAATTGTTTTTATTTTATTTGTATATTTAACTTATTCTTGACTCTGTGGTTCTTGCACTTGTTTGGGGAACAGGATTTCATTATTTTTATCTACATTTCTGCCTGAGAAATGACACCCTGATATAGTTCTGTGATCTGTGAAACAGTTCTGTTAATCACTGAGGCATTGTGTGTTTGTGTGTTCTTTTTCTTTAGAATTTTCAAATAAACTCGACGTTTTTTATGATAAATAGTAATGTTGTGCTTGTACTATTTTGGACACACTGTCCTCAGGCTCCAGCTTTATGTTGTATGTTGATCGTATTAAAACAAAGAAAACAATCTGAAGTTGTTGTTTTTAAGTTATATATACCATGATTTTTCCGGTCCGGCCCACTTGGGAATAGATTTTCCTCCATGTGGCCCCTGAGCTAAAATGAGTTTGACACCCCTGACTTAGAGGATAAATCATTAGGGATTTCAATCTGTCTCTTCCTCAGGTGTTTGATAACTACGCGGTGACAGTGATGATTGGAGGGGAGCCCTACACTCTGGGGCTATTCGATACAGCAGGTAAAACAAAATGGCCGCTCCGCTACATGAGCTCTTCTTAACTACAGTGTCTTGAGCATCTTCTCACTCACCATGGTCTGCTTGTATTACATTCACATTGTGCTTACATTGGGATTATGGATCGTGTTTCTCTCCAGCCATCTAAGCGTTTTAACATTGCATGGGTAACTCACCTTGTGCACTAGCCTATGTAGTGATAGCATGTACCATGGTGTCTAAACACGTTTTTGTGTTTGTGAGTTAGTCTACAGATGGTTAGTCCACTGAGCTCAAATATTAGCTAGATAATGTAGAGTTCATTGTGTAGTTGTCTTATCTAGGCTTGTTCTTGCATAGGAAAGGTAGCCTTGATGTAAACTCCTAAAATGTTTCTCTCTCTGTTGCCCTCCTAAGGTCAGGAGGACTATGACAGACTGCGACCGCTCAGCTACCCCCAGACAGACGTCTTCCTTGTGTGTTTCTCTGTCGTATCGCCCTCCTCCTTTGAGAACGTCCGCGAGAAGGTGTGTGTGTAGAATATAACTTTATTGTCCATTGGTTAGAACAGAAATGTGTCTTCTGCCTTTCCCAACACCCCCAGATATATACACACAAACACATACGTGACTTGTGTTTTCTAGCCCATGTCTTCACACCCGTGTTTCTCTATAAACATAGCATTATGTTCCTCTTCCGTGTGTTCTTTCTCTCCCCTCCCTCTTTCTCCATTACTCACTCCTGCATAAAATGATATATAACATGAAACCCTCCCATACTCAATGGATTTAATATACTGCAGGATCAGAACCAAATATGCCCTCCTCCTCTCCCACAGTGGGTCCCAGAGATCTCCCACCATTGTCCGCGTACGCCCTTCCTGCTGGTGGGAACCCAGATGGACCTGAGAGACGACAGCAACACAGTGGAGAAACTGGCTAAGAACAAGCAGCGGCCCCTGGCCCCCGAGAGCGGAGACAAGCTGGCCCGGGACCTCCGGGCCGTCAAATATGTGGAGTGCTCCGCCCTCACCCAGGTGTGTGTGTGTGTGTGTGAGAGAGAGAGAGACACAATCTCTATCTACTAAGTCTGGCCCTCATTCAGGGAAACAGGAAATGGTGGGTGTAAGTGGCTTGTGTGGTTTCTGAAAAGTAACTTCCTCTAACTTCCTCTCACACTGTTCTCCTTTGTGTTGATAGATGTCATACTTGGAACTATTAGCGGATGATGGCTACTGTTGACAGCATTTCATAGTGCCATCTTGTGCAACTGTGGACATTGTGAAACTAGGATAGTGGGTCAATAAGTAAATTGACTTGACTTACTTATTCCTCTCTTTTTCCCCTCTCTCTCTCTCACAGCGAGGTCTGAAGAACGTGTTTGATGAGGCCATCCTGGCCGCGCTGGAGCCGCCAGAGACCAAGCCCAAGAAACGCTGCGCACTCTTATAAAACATTTAAATGGGGCCAAAGAGCCAAGTGAAAGACCGAATTTAAAAGACAGACAGGCGGACACAGGAACAGACAGGAAGGGGTGTAGAGGGAGCAAGAGAGGACAAGTGAGACATTTGTTTAACAGTGCCTTCAGTGATAGAGGTGGATAGGTAACAAACAGAGACATAGAAATACATCACAATATGTAATAGAATGTATATCTATGGTTCTGGTAACAAGCTGATCAATTCTCTTCCTAACCAGTATAGTCCTTATTAGGAGACCGACGGAGCAATATAGGGAAGAGACAAGGTTTTGAAACCCCTATTGCCTTATAGTTACAGTACAAACAAAATGGGCTTGACAAAAAGAGGAAGAGACTGTGTGGAGTTTATTTTGTGTTTGATGATACTAAAAACTGACTGGAAAATGTTGATTAAGCTGCGCAATCTTGACGTGCACACACACCTGCTTTACTCCCTTCAACCCACAACTGCTTTTCTCTTTCAAACTGCCCGCCGTAGTTTTGAAAATCCTGCTTCTACAAAGATTAATTGTTCTTCTTCACTTGCTATCTGACATCATCTCTCCAATGGGAACTACAAGCGCTTCTTACTTCCTCTTGGTTTTCACTGCTCCAAAAAAGGCAATAACATTAACTGAATTTCCACTTGCCATTTTTTTTGCCATTTATTGTTTTGGAAATGATGGTGTATTATTGATGATAATGAGAGTATTATATATTTTTTGGCTCTTTATTTCTGGGGGTCCCCTAGTGGTTAGCGGTTTGGACTCTTGAGTTGTTGTTTTTAAATATATGTTTTATTATTAGTTTGATGGTTGTGTGCCAATGTGTTGTGTCACTGGTTTCATTTAACAATCATAATATGCCTCTAATGACTATGTAGCTGGTTGTGATATCAGTAGTAATAACAGCAAAAAGCAATAATGGTTAGGAGTAACAATAATAGCTCTATTGAAGCATCCTCATCCGGTTGTTTGAAATAAATAAAAAATACTTGAACTTGAAAATGGTCTAAATTTGAGCTCTTCTCAGTTTCCCCATGAAGCATACTATACTATTTATATATACAGTACCAGTCAAAAGTTTGGACACACCTACTCATTCCAGGGTTTTTCTTTATTTTTATTATTTTCTACATTGTAGAATAATAATATAATATGCCATTTAGCAGACGCTTTTATCCAAAGCGACTTACAGTCATGCGTGCATACATTTATTTTTATTTTTTTTATTTTTTTTTGTGTATGGGTGGTCCTGGGGATCGAACCCACTACCTTGGCGTTACAAGCGCCGTGCTCTACCAGCTGAGCTACAGAGGACCACGCCTCATTGCGTCGTCTCAGGTCGTTGATGTTCACGATGAGTCGGTTCTTGTTCTCGCTGATCATGTCCCGTACCTTGCTCTGGTAGACCCCCTGGTCTTGCTTATTTTTGGCGTTTAGAATAATAGTGAAGATATCAAAACTATGAAATAACACACATGGAATCATGTAGTAACCAAAAAAAGTGTTAAACCAATCAAAATATATTTGAGATTCTTCAAAGTAGCCACCCTTTGCCTTGATGACAGCTTTGCACACTCTTGGCATTCTCTCAACCAGCTTCACCTGGAATGCTTTTCCAACAGTCTTGAAAGAGTTCCCACATATGCTGAGCACTTGTTGGCTGCTTTTCCTTCACTCTCCCGTCCGACTCATCCCAAACCATCTGAATTGGGTTGAGGTCGAGGGATTCTTGAGGCCAGGTCATCTGATGCAGCACTCCATCACTCTCCTTCTTGGTAAAATAGCCCTTACACAGCCTGGAGGTGTGTTGGGTCATTGTCCTGTTAAAAACGAATGATAGTCCCACTAAGCCAAAACCAGATGGGATGGCGTATCGCTGCAGAATGCTGTGGTAGCCAAGCTGGTTAAGTGTGCCTTGAATTCTAAATAAATCACTGACAGTGTCACCAGCAAAGCACCCCCACACCATAACACCACCTCCTCCATGCTTTACGGTGGGAAATACACATGCAGAGATCATCTGTTCACCCACACCGCGTCTCACAAAAACACAGCGGTTGGAACCAAAAATCTCCAATTTGGACTCCAGACCAAAGGACAAATGTTGACCGGTCTAATGTTCATTGCTCGTGTTTCTTGGCCCAAGCAGGTCTCTTTTTATTATTGGTTTCCTTTAGTAGTGGTTTCTTTGCAGCAATTTGACCATGAAGGCCTGATTCACACAGTCCCCTCTGAACAGTTGATGTTGAGATGTGTCTGTTACTTGAACTCTGTGAAGGGCTGCAGTTTCTGAGGCTGGTAACTCTAATGAACTTATCCTTTGCAGCAGAGGTAACTCTGGGTCTTCCATTCCTGTGGCGGTACTCATGAGAGCCAGTTTTATCATAGCGCTTGATGGTTTTTGCGACTGCACTTGAAGAAATGTTCCATATTGACTGACCTTCATGTCTTAAAGTAATGATGGACTGTCGTTTCTCTTTTGATTATTTGAGCTGTTCTTGCCATAATATCTTCTGTGTACCCCCCTACCTTCTCACAACACAACTGATTGGCTCAAAGAAGGAAAGAAATTCCACAAATTAATTTTAAGAAGGCCCACCTGTTAATTGAAATGCATTCCAGGTGACTACCTCATGAAGCTGGTTGAGAGAATGCCAAGAGTGTGCAAAGCTGTCATCAAGGCAAAGGGTGGCTATTTGAAGAATGTCAAATATAAAATATATTTTGATTTGTTTAACACTTTTTTTATGGTTACTACATGATTCCATGTGTGTTATTTCCTAGTTTTGATGTCTTCACTATTATTCTACAATGTAAAAATAAAGAAAAACCCTTGAATGAGTAGGTGTGTCCAAACTTTTGACTGGTAATGTGTGTGTATATACAGTGAGGGAAAAAAGTATTTGATCCGAACAGTGAGAGACAGAATAATAACAACAAAATCCAGAAAAACGCATGCCAGAAATGTTATAAATTGATTTGCATTTTAATAATAAGCCATTTAGCAGACGCTTTTATCCAAAGCGACTTAGTCATGCGTGCATACATTTTTTTTTTTTTTGTATGGGTGGTCCCGGGGATCGAACCCACTACCTTGGCGTTACAAGCGCCGTGCTCTACCAGCTGAGCTACAGAGGACCAGGTGTCTTTTATACAGGTAACGAGCTGAGATTAGGAGCACACTCTTAAAGGGAGTACTCCTAATCTCAGCTTGGTACCAGTATAAAAGACACCTGTCCACAGAAGCAATCAATCAATCAGATTCCAAACTCTCCACCATGGCCAAGACCAAAGAGCTCTCCAAGGATGTCAGGGACAAGATTGTAGACCTACACAAGGCTGGAATGGGCTACAAAACCATCGCCAAGCAGTTTGGTGAGAAGGTGACAACAGTTGGTGCGATTATTCGCAAATGGAAGAAATACAAAAGACCTGTCAATCTCCCTCGACCTGGGGCTCCATGCAAGATCTCACCTCGTGGAGTTGCAATGATCATGAGAACGGTGAGGAATCAGCCCAGAACTACACGGGAGGATCTTGTCAATGATCTCAAGGCAGCTGGGACCATAGTCACCAAGAAAACAATTGGTAACACACTACGCCGTGAAGGACTGAAATCCTGCAGCGCCCGCAAGATCCCCCTGCTCAAGAAAGCACATATACAGGCCCGTCTGAAGTTTGCCAATGAACATCTGAATGATTCAGAGGAGAACTGGGTGAAAGTGTTGTGGTCAGATGAGACCAAAATCGAGCTCTTTGGCATCAACTCAACTCGCCGTGTTTGGAGGAGGAGGAATGCTGCCTATGACCCCAAGAACACCATCCCCCAAAGAACACCATCCCCACCGTCAAACATGGAGGTGGAAACATTATGCTTTGGAGGTGTTTTTCTGCTAAGGGGACAGAACAACTTCACCGCATCAAAGGGGCCATGTACCGTCAAATCTTGGGTGAGAACCTCCTTCACTCAGCCAGGGCATTGAAAATGGGTCGTGGATGGGTATTCCAGCATGACAATGACCCAAAACACACGGCCAAGGCAACAAAGGAGTGGCTCAAGAAGAAGCACATTAAGGTCCTGGAGTGGCCTAGCCAGTCTCCAGACCTTAATCCCATAGAAAATCTGTGGAGGGAGCTGAAGGTTCGAGTTGCTAAACGTCAGCCTCGAAACCTTAATGACTTGGAGAAGATCTGCAAAGAGGAGTGGGACAAAATCCCTCCTGAGATGTGTGCAAAACTGGTGGCCAACTACAAGAAACGTCTGACCTCTGTGATTGCCAACAAGGGTTTTGCCACCAAGTACTAAGTCATGTTTTGCATTGGGGTCAAATACTTATTTCCCTCATTAAAATGCAAATCAATTTATATCATTTTTGACATGTTTTTCTGGATTTTTGTTGTTGTTATTCTGTCTCTCACTGTTCAATTAAACCTACCATTAAAATGATAGACTGATCATGTCTGTCAGTGGGCAAACGTACAAAATCAACAGGGGATCAAATACTTTTTTCCCTCACTGTACAGCTCTGGAAAGAATTAAGAGACCACTGCAAAAATATACGTTTCTCTGGTTTTACTATTTATAGGAATGTGTTTGGGTGAAATTAACATTTTTGTTTTATTCTATAAACTACTGACAACATTTCTCCCAAATTCCAAATAAAAATATTGTCATTTAGAGCATTTATTTGCAGAAAATGACAACTGGTCAAAATAACAAAATATGCAGTGTTGTCAGACCTTGGATAATGCAAAGAAAATAAGTTCAAGTTAATTTTTAAACAACACAATACTAATGTTTTAACTTAGGAAGAGTTCAGAAATCAATATTTGGTGGAATAACCCTGATTTTCAATCACAGCTTTCATGTGTCTTGGCATGCTCTCCACCAGTCTTTCACATTGATGTTGGGTGACTTTATGCCACTCCAGGCGCAGAAATTCAAGCAGCTCGGCTTTGTTTGATGGCTTGTGACCATCCATCTTCCT